ATTATTGCTTACAACTAACCGAATATTTTGACATAATACTTTTAATTAATGTCAATGTTTAAGCTTTTTCAGTATGATCATTTTAGACCATGCAGTTTGTAGTGTTTACTGTATAATATTTTACAGTAGAATTATATTGTTGAGATATAATTTCTAGCATGTGTAAGATTGGTTCATACTCTGTTCCTTCTGTTTTTAAGATTATTATACAGATGCAATCTATTGATAAAGAAAATGAACTTGACATTTTAGTACAAGGTCCGAAATATATTGAGTATGTTGAGCTTCCAAAGCAAACATACCTGTTAGAGTTCCAAAACGAATGTTGACATTAAAGGTCGGATCAAGAAGAAACGTGGTTAACAAACCCAGCATCATTATGTGTTTCACAAGTGAATCAATGAAGAAATGCCACTGTCCATCAGAGCCTGCCTTCTTGATAACCAGAGCAGCAACTTTGCAAAATCTCCCACGTTAGTAGCTTGTTTAGTGTGCATAACCTGTAGCACTGCTCTGGATGCAAGTCATTTTAGGTTAGACTGGGAATTCACTCTGCGGCCGTCCTGCCTTGTAGCCTTAGGCAGTGGGGTTGCAGTGGGGAGGGTACGCCAGAACCAGTCAATTACCAGTTAATAAACAGTGAAAGTTTTCTATTAGAGCTTGTTAGTGCGTGTAAAAGATTGTTGGTATGTGGAATTGGGGGAAGGCACTGTGACTGTGGAATTAGAAAAATAAATACAGCCATATTCCCTTCCCCTGGGTCTTTTATAGCACCCAGTTCTCTGCATGTGTATCATCTATGGAGATAATTTGTGTTATTTGATTTTCAGCAGGCTATGCAGTGCAATATATAGTATTTGCAAACTCATGTTTTTTTTCTTTTGAACAGTGCAGAAGTGTTTGCTCAGGGGCTTTCATTTAAAGCAGTATTTCAAAAGGGACTATAGAGAACTCTTTCCAATAAAGAGAATCCATTACATACTGTAGGCATGGGGGAGGCCACCCGGCTGCAGTGTGTCTTGTCATTGATAACATTAAGGGCCCCTGGTGGATATGATGCATGGACCCTCTTTTGGATAGCGCTTGTCACAAATCTAATCTCGTGGTGAATCCCTCACATATCTGAGGGCAGTTTTAACACTGCTTACAGTGGAATACTGCTTTAAGGGACATCATTGCACTTGAGTAGCCTTGGGAAGTAGCACAACAGTGATTGGATTTGGGGAAGTCAGTCTTACCAAGGGGACCCTGCCCTGACAGCAAAAAGCATGAATCATCAAAACCCTACCCTGTCACATCAGACCACCACCAATAACAACTTATTTATTTGTTTGCTCAAAGATCTGTGGGTGTGTAACTAAAGCTCCAAGGAAGTGTGCCGGGTGTTTTTTTAGTGGCCAAACTATGGTACTACAACGTACGTGTCAGTCTGTGATGTCATTGGGTCTAACATTTTTTTTTTCAATTGACTTACATTGGGAAAGAGACATCTTTAAATCAGAGGAACATTTTTTTTTTATCGAAATAAACCTCACTGTCTGAATACTTAAATATTCCTTATTTATATCATTACAGCCTAAAAGTTGTAAAACGCACTCCAAGCCTAAACCAGAGTTATTTTCCCTCTCCAATCATTTGACCAAGTTGAGAGCAGACGTGGGCGGGGCTTAGGTAAAGCTCAAGTGCATGCTTTATAGACCCAGACCTGGGTATTTTTGTTCTAAAGAGTCATGCCTTTTTTGTTTCAGTGAGTAACTCTCATAGGAATGAGCGGCGCTCCCCCTACAACACTGTATAGAGTTCTCCTCATACATCCGTGGTGTAACTAGGCACAAATTGTCCACAGTAGATAAAAGAGACTCATGATAATTGGTCCCATCCATTCTTTCCTACAGGACTAGGTGTAATTACACACATTTTACATTTATCTTCCAGGAAAGGAAAGGATGCTCCTCTGCTGGAACTGGAACCAGCATATGGGCTGGCGGCCTCTTGGGGTAATGGGTTGGGCAGACTCTCTGTCGACCATTGGGTCATTGGTAACCAGCAGCTGGGAGGCCGCCCTCTCATCACATCAACAAATCTCCCTTTAATTAGCTCACCTGCCCGTTTCCTCCCTTTTCCTACCCACGCTCCCTGAAGTCCTCCATCAAACCTCTCTCAGCCGGCTTACAGGTTCACCTTCCTCTCTCATCCTGCCTCTCTCATCCTGCCTCCACACCTGGGAATCGCTTCGGCTTCTCAACTTCACTCCTAAACACACTCATTACACACACTCATTCACACACACACCCACACACACACCTACCTACCGCTATAAACAAGACTGACAATTGACTTCAGGAAAGCATGGATCTCATTGATTTTTAAATGGTGTCTCAGTGATACCTTATTAGCATTAGGTTCGCGACTGAGATGGTCATTTCTCAAGAGCACATTTCCTTTGTGTCTTACAAAATAATTTGCAAATTCCCAGATGGGAAATGATCCGCATAGGCTCTGTTATTCTGTTCACCCAGGATCCTTCTGTTGGCTGTTTAAAGATGTTCAATAAGTGGACCAACGGTTTTTTGTATTGATCATAGTCTCTGCCTGCACTTTAATGGGGATACACTGCATCCTTGCCTCAGTAAACCTGTGTACCTTAAGCCTAGTGAGCTGCTCTCATACATAATGTTGCTCAATTTAGGCGTCCAAATGTAAATTGCAAATGTAATAACATGGAAAACATGTTTCATGCTTATAAGTGCATAATTTTGTAGATTTAAAACATTTTCCTGTGAGAAAAAAAAGCGCTGTTTTAAGAATAATTGGCTGCCATTAGCGACTAGCTAATTATACTGGTTGAATATGATAAATGAGATGTCCTCTTTATACCCCTGATGATTTTACAAGAAGAGGCGTCATTTTATTGGTGGATATCTCATTAAGGAGCAAGCCTCTTCATTTACATATCTCTTTATCTGGATGATCCCAATGCACAATCCTGCCTTACAATATGAATGAAGTTGTGATGCGACTGTTCTCATGGACTGGATGGATCCCACTAGTATTGCCAGACTGACTCCAGAGAGTGCTAACATATAAAGCAATCTAGGTCTGAGAAGATTGGCCTACAATGCCTGCCAGTCTCAGGTGCCTGATAAAATCCAAACAGCATTGAACTACCAGCACCGTTCCTCACAGTGCTCCAGTCCCACTGGTGCACTGCTACACTCTTTCTCTCTTAACCACAGTCTTCCATATGGACACTATTATGGCTGCTGCTTAATTACCTATCAAAAAACATTTCACTGCACTTGACAGAGGGCTGGCAGAAGGGGCGTTGGAGGAAAAAAAAGACATAGACAGTGTAAAAGGAGCAGACATACAAAAAGGAGTTAAAGATAGGAATGAGAAATGGGAACTGAGAGATTGATGGAGAGGACGAGCCATGCATCTGTGAATTTGAATAGATGGGGACAGACACGGAGGGGAGTGGCGGAACAACTTCGCAGTGCAGATGGGGAGAGCAGTGATCTGGACAGTATCTTTTTTGTTTACAAACTCACACAACAAGAGAGAAAGAAGGGAGGGTCCCGGGCAGAGGAGAGGCTATACATTACCTGTGATTGATGCTTTCCGCCGCGGAGGACGACAGTTAAAGATGTGTGGTGCTCATCGCTGACCCTCTATTCACTCCTTCCTCCTGCTCTCACCCCCCACCGACCAAAAAACATACAATTATCTGTTCCGTCTGTCAAACGCTCAACCCTGAGCGACCATCCACCAAAAGAATAATAATATCCTACTAGACAAACTGCTGGTTAGAAGAGCAGCTTTTACCAAAGGAGGTTTGATGTATCAGCCACAAGCTTCTGCACTGTAAATTTCAAACCTCCTTCATTCACCTTCAGGCAAACAAAACTGCGTAGGAATATAGATTTATTTTCCCATGGTAAGCAAAATAAGTCAAACTCAAAGTTACACCAAAACTAGGAATGAAAACAAATGTATTGGAATAAAGTAAAGGAAGCTAAAACTAGGCCCTGATGTTTGCCCATAATAACATAAATATGAACCATCATTTTGAGTGTTGGTCTTTTTATCTTTGATTACTTCAGTCGATTTCCGCTTTATGAAGAGAGAGCTGAGCCAGAAGGCAAAGTTCTCAATCTACCGGTCCAGCTTGGTTCCTACTCTCATCTATGGTCATGAAAGGTGGGTCATGACCAAAAGAATCGGATCGCATTCAGAAAGCAGAAATGCGTTTTCTCCGAAGGATGGCTGGCATCTCCCTTAGGGATAATGTGAGAAGTTCAGCCATCCGGCAGGGACCGCTGCTGCTTTGTGTAGAAAGGAGTCAGTTGAGGTGGTTCTGGCAACTGGTAGTAATGTCACCTAGTGTTCCAAGCACGTCCAGCTGGAAGGGGAACAAGGGGCTGACCCAGGACCAGGTGGAGAGATTATATCTCCACGCTGGCCTGGGAGAGCCTTGGTTGATGTGGCCAGGGAAAGAGAAGTTTGCTGGAACTGTTTCCATCTCCGGATAATCATAAGAAAATGGATGGATGGATAGAGAATCTAAAATGTCACTGTTGTCACTGTTCATGTCCTTAGTTATATCATCCTTTTGGATTTGACATAACATTGCTTTTTGAGATACATAATGTCCACAGGTATTTTGAATGTTATGTGAAAATATGTGCCCATGCAAGAAAGAAATGTTAAGAAATGGTTCGTAACATGTTTGTTCAGCTCCATTTTACAGCTTATAATGTGGGTTGAAATCCATCCACCCTTATTTAAAATGACAAAGCTCTTGTTTACAGCAAAGCTGAGGCAGTTATTTCCCGCAGGAAATTTGAATTCACTTATATCATTGTAATAAAAGTGACCCTTCAGTTCCAGTTGTGTGGTCATTCCGAAGCAAGACTGCATCAAAGCAATACAAAAAAAGGCTTGTTTTTATTATTGAGCCCTGATACATATATAATCCATAATTATTGTGTCTCTTCTAGCTGGAAGCTGCCCTCCACAATCCTGTTCAGTGCGCGTTGTTGGGCTTCTCTGCAGCGAGCACCTCCTTACCTCAAGGCTACTTCTGGGTAAGTAATGGGTTTTCTTCTCACACAAAGGCACGCTCACAAGCACACACCCAACCTCTCAATTGAATGCCAAATTATTGCAAGGAATGACAAGGCAAAACAATGCATATTTTACAGTTCCTGATCATTTGTTGCTTTTACCACATTGCCATGACCATTTTAATGTATTTTTCCACATTCTGCTCACATTCATTAAACAATTAAATATACAAAAGAATATATCTCAAGGCTAAGAATGAGACATGCACCACTTTTCTCTGTAAAATGTTGCCAGGAAACTGAATAACTACGGTACAGTATAAAGACCAGTGGTCTAACCCATCACAATCCCCAGACTTGTGGGATTTTAGCTGGATTTAGAAAAAGGGGGAATTCAGGTGGAAAAAAATGATGCAGGGAATCTGCTATTAATCTTTAAGTTTCAATTTTTGTCTCTCCTACTTTTTGGAGAAGGCAAGCAATTTATCATGTAATCCTCTTTCAAACTAAAAGGTGGCTAAATCCAGTGTAAGTCCTCCTGGACACAGACTACAGCTCGCCGTCTCAGACTTTTGCTTCTGTGGTGCTATCGTAAAGAGGACTGTATGCTCACTCAGATGGGGGAAGGAGATATGGTGGAGCGGGCATTTAGGGCAATAGGATATCAGTGTTTAAAGGAGCAAAGGCCAGTCTGACTTCCAACCTCTCTCAGAGAACAAACTATTACAGATGACTTAAATGCCCCTGACCTTGTCCTCCCACACCGTTTGGACGGACAAAGGTGGCTTTTCTGTTTGGGGTTTGTTGGACCAGTGAGATAAAAGGTTTTCAATTCCATTACCACGTCTTGGGTTCCTGTACATTTAACCATCAGATGTTGTTTCTGCAGTTTCCGCATTGAGAATGTTCATTTGTTTGAAAGGGGCCCTATAATGCTATTTGGGTTTTTTACTTTCCTCTAGTGTGTTGTATAGGTTTTTGTGCATGTAAATGGTTTGTAAGAGCTAAAATCGCCTTGTTCCCTCCAGAGGGAGTTTCTCTCTCACACACTCCCCCCTTTCTGAAATGCTTCGCTTGGACTCCTTGGTTTTCTCTCGTAACTTAAAAGACATCATATGTACCACTTGCATATCTATTGGCTAGTGCTCCAAACACATTGTACGTGATAAGCTAAGGGGCGGGACCAAAACTCATGTACAACAACTTCCTTACTTGCAATAAATAAGCACTAATTAGAGGGTTATTGAGGAAAAACTCAACTAATGGCTTATTACTTGTAGAATATGGTCATGTAGAATAAGGCATTAATAAGTGTTTTATAATGACTAATAAAGAGCCAATATACTGGGAATATGCATGTTAATTAAGAACTAGTTGATGGTGAATTTGTGTACCTTAATATAAAGTGTTACCCAAATATGAACCTGGAAATTAGCATAATATGTTATATTTAAGTCATAAGTAACATGATTACAAGGGAATATGTCTTTTGGGTCTCTGAATGCTGACTTCTAAAATAATATTCTTTGACTAAGCCCTTCAAATAATAAGCCTAATAATAAAATATATAATATGTGTGACCATCCGATGCCCACCTGTCGCTGTTCTATATATTTTTTATTGTTCTGAAGTTTTACCAAGTCATACCTTGCTAAATCCCATGTGTTATGACACACTTGATTTGAGTTCAAGCTCACACAGAGACTGTATGGATCTGAATCTTAAAGAAGGAACAAGTCTGATGTTCAGAGCATTGCTCAGTAAACAATGACAGTGCACCTCTTGGTTGAATTCTAATTCAAATGTTTGTATTTAGAGGCAGTCACATTCGATATTCTGAATTAACTTTGGTACTCTTATTGCAATTTAATATCTTAGGCATGTTTGCCAGAAGAGACCCAAGCACGTTAGGACATTAGTAGTGAATGCTATCTGAAAGGAGGCCTTAATGAAATATGTCAAGGAGGACTGTTACTCAGTAATGCAATTTTTCAATCCAATGTATTTTGTCATGAATGGAATACAAGTATCCAGATTCAATTAACTCCAAAAAATAAATAAAATGAAGATGTTCCCGTTTGGAGCAACTAGCACACCTGACCTTCAAGCAATACATGGAACATACTGCCCAGTACAACATGTAACCAAAGCAAAAGCTGATATCCACAAAAATACTATTATTAAAGGCTTACTGATCCAGCCAGAATAATTAGTGGCTGTGCTTCGGAGAGTTGGATCTTCCTCCCTGGAAGGCTCGTCAAACAAGGGATGACACTAATCATGTTAAAGTGAGATGGGCTATGGGGATCTCTGTGTGCTTTGATCAGAGTAATGACATTATGTTTAATCAGCCTGATACCTCAGTCATCGCCTTCACCTTCCACGTCCAAAACATCCTACTTATCATTCTCAGATAAAGTCTCCATTTGCTCTGCCATTATGATTCTCTTCGAATCCTCTTCTTCTTTTCAGGGATTCAAAGCATGCATCAAAAATGGGGAACTGGAAATGCATCCGTTTCAGACAATCACATCAACAATCTGGTGACCCATGGTTTCTGGCTTAATGTGGCGAATACAATTGGGCAGAGAGTGCCATCATGACTTTTCTCCCACGTTTCCTCGCTGCCTCCAAAGCAATCTAATTAATGCTGGAAGAGCGTTTACTGTTCGTGGAGTTCTTGCTTCTCCCAGGCCAAGAACAGGAATCCGTCCAGGGCACGTTTCCAGTTCTCTAAATAAGTAGTAATGACTTTGTTAGGAAACAGTATGTGCACTAGATATCGGGCGAAGAGAGGTGTTGTTGAATTAAAGAGAAGGGAATGTTTTTGTTGACCGGGACAGTGGTGGAGGGGTTAAGGACATACAGGTGGCAGCTGAATGTATAAATCATGGGGGATTCTTGGTAAGGGGGCCTTTGCCCCTGGCTATGGTTACACAGTCACTTGAAGCCGTGTTTTTTCAAGCCCCTCGCTGCAAGATAAGTCCTCCCTATCCTTTTTTTTCACCCTGTGCAACAGACCATTATTTGTTCTGGCTCATTCTCAAGAGCCCACAGGATCGCTCCTGTCCAGATTTTGCACGCTGATACAAATCAAACAAATGATTGCATGCAAATAAGGGTGAGCGTTGAGGAGAAGAGCTAAAGACTATATTTAGCTCATGTCACATTCACACGATGTGATTCATACGGAGAATAAATCTTTGGTGTCTAGCCGCGAGCAGCCGTGCTTCCTTTCCCCAGAAGGACATTGTATTCCGTCTGGACATCCACCTTGGCCCTCGTGCAGGATTAATGATTGAAATCATATTGAAAAACCACAGCGACACTTTAGTTGTTTAGGAATGTGAGCAATGCCACGTAATTGGAATGCATCAGAGATAGGTTGGAGGACTCCTGCTGTCCTCGTTTTCCCGGCATTGGCTTTGACAGGCCTACACAAAGTCCAATATAAATGTGGTGCATGGGAAATGATGCAGACACTCAGCTTGTGCGGGGTGAATTGCCATGGGAAGCTCGGCATGATTGGTGGATCTTTTCTGATAACATCCAAGGTTGCCTTTCTGTTTGTTAGGAGAACAAACAAGTGCCTTTTCAAAACCTAGTACAGGCATTGATGGTTAAAATGTGGTCCAATTTGAGCCAGTGAAAGCTCCCAGCTTTTCCAAGGCTTGTGTTTACTTCTTTGCTGGTACTTAAAAAAGCATATTCTGTGCTTGATTTGACCTTGGACATATCAAAAACAAAATTTGAGTTCAAATAAATAACAATTTTTTTATATGTAATCACTGAATGACTCAAGCAATAGACTACTAACTTGATCTTGTAAAAAAAAAAACTCATTGATAAGCAACTCGGAGCCTTTCAGAAACTTAGAGCCTCTGTTCTCGGCTGATGAAAAGATCGCAGAGCTATAAGAATTGTTTGATGTTCTAGAGATGACATTGTGAATCCATTATACAATGTGTTTAAAATTCCAAATGATATTCAAAAGAAAAAGTGAGGCAGGGCTGCGAACGACAAGGTCTGAAAGGATAATTGATTTTAGCTTTTTTTCTAAATCTAAATTGCTGACAGGTAGAGAATGTTTAAACTAGGGACCCATTATCCCCCGAACTCCCCCATTTGATTAAGACAGGGAAGCAAGCATGATCTAAAGGGAAGCTGGTTCTGCTCCTTTCACTTTTTTTTCAGTTTCTCTAGAATAGTTATTACCCTTGGCATTGTGATTCAGTCCGTCGGTCCAGCTTAACATGAGGTCTTGACCTTTTTCAAACTGCTTTTATTCTCCCAACAGGTGGCTGGTGGAGAAGGCTCGCATGGCCAGATTGAGATATTTTCCCTCAACAGGCCCATGCCAAGGACTGTGAAAAGCCTGCAGGTAGACTCAGCCGCCCGATGTCTGGAATATGTGCCAGAACCTTCTCCGACTGAGGAAACTGATGCAGGAGTTCAAAAGGCCCCGACAGGGATCGGTGCCAACATTTGTGTCGGATTAGACGATGGGCGGTGAGTTTAATCACAGAATGATACAGAAACATGAGCAAAAGACGCTTTTCGGTTGTGATTATTGAATCAGAATACCTTTATTCGTCCCAGAGAGGGGACATTTAAATTGTTACAGCAATAGTGAAGCTAGAGATAAAAAAAAGAATACAAAAAAAAACACTATTAGATAAAATAAAAGCGGCATGCACAAAAAATATAAAATACAAAATTAGAAAAGATGTAAAGTTATTCAAATGTACAAGTTACATTCCAAGTAGATTCTAATTTACAAATTGCACATAAGTGTTATTGCACAACAGTGGTATCGTAGTCTTAAGTTGTGGGAGTGTGGGGGTCTACCAGGCGCCACGCTGGTTGCAAAGTAAATGAATGAGGTCAAGTATAGATGATGGCCCCGCCCACTTTCAGATACAAAATATTTTCATCACACCTCAAGCTGCTGTGTCCTATATTGCACATAGTACGACAAGAATATCAGAAGTTCAGATTTGTATTTACTTTTACTTAAAAAATATATATATTTGGCCTTCAACAGAGAGGACAGGGATGGTAATCAATGGGACCCGGTCAGTCCAATACATGTACGTCTATGGAAACACTTCCTCACAGCTACATTATGATGCTAATTAGGTCAATGTCAATCATCAAAGTAAACATTTGTCATGTTAAAAGTCAAAGCAGTGACTGTAGGTGCTGCATTCAAATGTAAAACACTGACAAGCCAAGGAAATACCAGTTTAATGTTAGCCTGCTGCCTGCTGCCTGCCTCCAGTCCACCTGCAGACTGACAGGTCATCGATTAGATTACAAATCGACAGCGATCATCGATCTCCAATGACATTGTGTAATTGGAAGTGTGACTGACCATCGTAATTGGCCTCCTTGTAGATAAAAAAATGCAAAATATTGTTAATGTTTTGATTGGGCTGGCGAACATCTCAGAATTTGTATATATCTCTGTCATCTATAGAGATGAGATTAAACGGAAACAGAAAATATGCAATTGAAAAATCAGAAATACAAAGAGAACACAAATGATGTTTAGTACATCCCGCATCTTCTATCCTTTCTTACGGTCCCCTGAGGTTTCTAACAGTATAGATTTGCTCGTCAATATTTCATCAAAGCAAGAAATCAGAGTTGATACCCCGACACAGCATCAATACTGCTACAGCTGCTAAGATCACAGTTTCATTTTCAAATCCAATAAACCTTCTGATCCCCTCTGTGTAATGGAGGATAGGTTTAATCTCACTCTCCTGTCACAGTTACTGTGAATACATTCCTTTTTTTTTGACCATAGGAGAATATACTTTAGTTTCAGATTCTGACATTATATTACCACTTTTCTGTAATTCTCCTTTACAGTAGTGTTTAGTCAGCCTAAACCAAACGTCAGCAGTTTTTTTACGCTGACTCATTTTTGTATTGTAAGCGTCTGTCAAGGGAATAAGAAAAAAGACATACAGTAAAATACAAAAACAAACAATTCCAGCCATTTTTAGGGCACTTGGAAAACTGTCAGCTCCAATGCTATTTAATATTTTATTCTCAGACGTAGATACAACAGTCATGAGCATTTGTCATTCTGAAGAATACAATAAGATGCAGCGAAGTTCAAATGGCATTTCAAACATGAGAAAGACAGAGTGGTTGCACATACACAATGCTTTGCTCCAAGTGCACTGTTAAATCAAACTGCATGAAAACGAGGCACTCTGTCATTTCGAATGACACTCATTCATCACGTCGGCGTGTGCTGTTTTTTTTCTTCCAGCATACTTGTTTACGGCAGTGTGGACACTACAGCACAATGCCTGCTGACCCTCCACAACCCAGAGGGCTGCCCTGTGCTGTGCCTGAAGCACTCCTCTCGCTTCCTGTTTGCAGGCCTCCGGAACGGCACCATGATGGTTTATGGAAGAAATAAAAACGGTATGTTTCTCTCAAGGTTGCATGTTGCCATTCTCTATGTGCTACTTCAGTACTTTTGTTTTACTTTAATAAAAGTATCCTAACTACAGTGCAAAAATACACAGTTCCTAGTCAAAAGGCTGCATTCAAAATTGCATGCAAGTAGAAGTACATAAGAGTTAGCATCAAAATATACTTAAGGTACAAAAAGTAAAAGAAAAACATAAATACACAACGTGTGTGTTTTAATTTGAAAATATAATTTATTTTTAAGTTCAAATTATTTATATGAGGTGTAAAATACCTTATAATGCTTAAAATAAATAGTGAGCAGCATTTCACCTCCTCTACTGGGTCCATACAATCTATATTTACAGTCGTCAGTTATACAATATGTCCCTGAGAGCCCTTTAAAATTAAACTATCTATCTTAAAATCTATAATCTAAATCTGTGTTGTTAATAATAATAATAATAATAATAATTCATTTATTTTATATAGGCGCCTTTCAAGGCTCTCAAGGTCGCCGTACAAATGTTGCTACTAACAGGGCCGCACGTTCTGTCTGATTTCTGTTATCTTGTTTATTGGAATAAATAAAACATGGAAAACCTATATGTAGTTAGTCAGGTAGCTTGCTATTTTCACTGTATATCTATAGAAACGTCTTTAAATTAATATTAATATTATGTGTTACTTTTTCAAATGTTGTTGATAATGTTTTTTCTTTTAAACCAACATTTTTTTCACATAACATCAAATGTGTTGCGTTTCACACTCTGCTGACAATATTGGGTAAAACAGTACTCAAAGATTTTTAGCAAAAACTATGTTCATACCAAGAATATAATAGGTTCTAATACACCTCTATAGATATATCGTTTAATTTTTTTTATTATTCATTTAGCCAATAAATATAAGTATTATTTGTAAACAAATATGTTTTTTCTTCAACCTACTAGCTTACACCCACTTTACCTTTGCTTTACCATGGTATTACTGATTTTCACACCCACTGTAAGTATGAAAATAACACTTCACTTCGTGGTTGATGGCATGACATGTTTAGTCAGGCATTGCAAAGGCCAGGGGGGCTTAACACCTTCTCAGCAGCGGTTTGCGGTCTTCACAGCACAATAGCTCTATCACTGGCTTCCTGTTACCTGGCCACAGTGTGTCAACGCGCCTGCCTTCCTCCTGTGCTCCTCTCTCCTCCCAAGCAGAAAGGATGATTAATTACAGCAAGCTGCTGCCTGCCGATTAAATATTACTATTCATGCTTTGTATATAAAAAAAAAGGACAGGAGAAAAGCTCTGGAGTGTGCCGGGGAATGTTTGTGGATTCGGCACATCTGTTAGAGATGTATGCCCTTCACTTAGCGTGCTACTGTCTCTAAACAAGTCTGAAGCAACCAGGAAATGACGAGGCTGAGACTCGTTTTGAAAGGTGTATTAATCTGCCAAACATTTGATCTTTGGGAATCGTGATCGGCGAGAAGTGTGTGGTACAAAGAGCCTGGTCCCCCGCTGTGCTGAAGAGGGGAAAGCGCTGGCATGGTGTCTTATAGTACAAGGAGCCGTAGGGACATTTACAAGTGTGAATTTTGAAAAGGTGGAAAAGAAATGACCTTTATAACATGCCAAGCAATTAACCTGTAGAGTCACAAGACATTGTAAAGCTATTCTGCTATGAAAGGCAGAAATAAACAACTAAAATGTTAATGAAATGGCTGGGTGCACCCCATTCTCTAATGTTGCTTCATTAACGCATAGCAATGGAAATGCTTATGTAATTCGCTTTATAATGTGCTTCCGTGGTGGTAGCTGCGGCATGATTAAAGCTCAAAGAAAAAAGGATCTGCTTCATTTTCACACTGATGAAGTAAAAAGGGGAAAGCGAGACAGCGAGCGCGAGGAGAACTGAGTGGAAAGTAGATTAAAGTCTATGCAGACATATTAGCATGTGGGTGGCAAAGGTGCAAACATTGTGCTGCGCAGTGTGTGGCAATCCAAATGAAGGTCCCGGTCTTTATTTAGTCGACCTGTTGTTCGTACTCTCCCTCATCGAGACTACACTCCAAGCCCTCTCTGCTGATGCTTCAGTATTTGCTCAACGACATTAAATGAGGTTAAAATGTTAACATAGGTTCAGGAGCATGGCCACGCCTAAAACTCCGCCTCAAACCACAGCCACCCCTATTTATATCCGGCAAAGCTTCCGGCAAACGCTTGTCTCATCTTTCAAAGACTGACAGGCAGACTGTGATTCACGCTGCGCGTCGTCACAGTTCAATACAAGCTAAACGCTACCACAAGAACATTGCTACTCACCATGGATCCCGAAATCCTGATCAACTCGCCGGAGTCAGATGAAGATCTCTTCGACATCGGCTACCCGCCATCCTCAGGTCAGCAGACGGATCTAAGCCAAGCATCCGAACGGAGCCGCGTGCGCTCGGCAATCAGTGTCCCACACACCAGCCGCCACCGCTCCCACTCAAGCTCCCCCAACGAGATACCTCCAACTCCAGACAGGTCCCAGGCTTCGTCTACTCCGCTAGCGAGGGCAAACAGCCAGGGCCGCAACAGGTACAGCCAGCTCCAATCTCCCCACCACCGGCAGCCTGCCTCACTCGCAGCCCCCGGCCACTCGCAGCGGCGCACTCGACACGCCTCTCGGACGGAGCCGTGCTCCGAAACGGAGTCCGAACTACGGAGGTGGACAGTCATGCAACTCCAACGTTTCCTGAAGGAAAACGGCATCCACTTTCACCGAAATGACAACAAGGCTAGACTGTTCAACATCTATAAAGCCTACAGCAGCACAACGGCAAGAACAACAACACGCACAGCTCTTCCCGCTCCAGAGTCAACCACCGCGCGCGCGCGCACCACGGGTCGTGACGTCACAGGCCTCCGTCCTCCTCCACGGACACAGCCCGACTCACCAGCACCCCCTGGTGGGGGCCAGGTTGTATTGCCCTCTGTGCCTGCTCACAGGCTTCACAAAAATCCCCCTGCACACACATCCCTTCATCCCTCCATCCCGTTCAACGTGTCTCCAGGTAACAACCAGGTACACGGACGTTAGCATGTTCAGTTAAACGTGTCTCCAGGTAACAACCAGGTACACAGACATTAGCATGTTCAGTTAAACGTGTCTCCTGGTAGCAACCAGGTACACGGATGTTAGCATGTTCAGTTCAACGTGTCTCCAGGTAACAACCAGGTACACGGACGCTAGCATGTTCAGTTAAACGTGTCTCCTGGTAGCAACCAGGTACACGGACGTTAGCATGTTCAGTTAAACGTGTCTCCTGGTAACAACCAGGTACACGGACGTTAGCATGTTCAGTTAAACGTGTCTCCTGGTAGCAACCAGGTACACGGACGTTAGCATGTTCAGTTCAACGTGTCTCCAGGTAACAACCAGGTACACAGACGTTAGCATGTTCAGTTAAACGTGTCTCCAGGTAACAACCAGGTACACGGACGTTAGCATGTTCAGTTAAACGTGTCTCCAGGTAACAACCAGGTACACGGACATTAGCATGTTCAGTTAAACGTGTCTCCTGGTAACAACCAGGTACACGGACGTTAGCATGTTCAGTTAAACGTGTCTCCTGGTAGCAACCAGGTACACGGACGTTAGCATGTTCAGTTCAACGTGTCTCCAGGTAACAACCAGGTACACGGACGTTAGCATGTTCAGTTAAACGTGTCTCCTGGTAGCAACCAGGTACACGGATGTTAGCATGTTCAGTTAAACGTGTCTCCTGGTAGCAACCAGGTACACGGACGTTAGCATGTTCAGTTAAACGTGTCTCCTGGTAGCAACCAGGTACACGGACGTTAGCATGTTCAGTTCAACGTGTCTCCAGGTAACAACCAGGTACACGGACGTTAGCATGTTCAGTTAAACGTGTCTCCAGGTAACAACCAGGTACACGGACGTTAGCATGTTCAGTTAAACGTGTCTCCTGGTAACAACCAGGTACACGGACGTTAGCATGTTCAGTTAAACGTGTCTCCTGGTAGCAACCAGGTACACGGACGTTAGCATGTTCAGTTCAACGTGTCTCCAGGTAACAACCAGGTACACGGACGTTAGCATGTTCAGTTAAACGTGTCTCCAGGTAACAACCAGGTACACAGACATTAGCATGTTCAGTTAAACGTGTCTCCTGGTAGCAACCAGGTACACGGATGTTAGCATGTTCAGTTCAACGTGTCTCCAGGTAACAACCAGGTACACGGACGCTAGCATGTTCAGTTAAACGTGTCTCCTGGTAGCAACCAGGTACACGGACGTTAGCATGTTCAGTTAAACGTGTCTCCAGGTAACAACCAGGTACACGGCCGTTAGCATGTTCAGTTAAACGTGTCTCCAGGTAACAACCAGGTACACAGACATTAGCATGTTCAGTTAAACGTGTCTCCTGGTAGCAACCAGGTACACGGATGTTAGCATGTTCAGTTCAACGTGTCTCCAGGTAACAACCAGGTACACGGACGTTAGCATGTTCAGTTAAACGTGTCTCCTGGTAGCAACCAGGTACACGGACGTTAGCATGTTCAGTTAAACGTGTCTCCTGGTAGCAACCAGGTACACGGACGTTAGCATGTTCAGTTAAACGTGTCTCCTGGTAGCAACCAGGTACACGGACGTTAGCATGCTCAGTTAAGATAAAGAAAGACGCTGCGCGTCGTCACGGTTCAAACAAGGTTAGCAGCTAACCCCGTAGCAACAGCGTCCCACCCAGTAAACCAAGGGGCAGGGGCCATGCCACATGCTAACCTATCAGCCGACTCTTACCCAGTACCTTCCTTTCCAACTGGTCTATCTTTTCCCCCATCCCTCCCCCATCCCTCCCCCATCCCTCCCCCATCCCTCCCCCATCCCTACCCCACCCCTTCCCCACCCCTTCCCCACCCCTTCCCCACCCCTTCCCCATCCCTTCCCCATCCCTTCCCCAACACCTGCATTGTGTTTTGCTGCCACAGCGGCAGCGGCAACAGCGGCAACACCTGCATTGATTTTTGCTGCCACAGCTGCCACAGCTGCAACAGCGGCAACAGCGGCAACAGCGGCAACAGCGGCAACAGCTGCAACAGCGAGCAGACGCAGGATGACTAGAGATCTCCACATAGTCCAGAACAGACCTGAATCCAGTAGACTTCTAAGGATGACTAGAGATCTCCACATAGTCCAGAACAGACCTGAATCCAGTAGACTTCTCAGGATGACTAGAGATCTCCACATAGTCCAGAACAGACTAGAGATCTCCACATAGTCCAGAACAGACCTGAATCCAGTAGACTTCTCAGGATGACTAGAGATCTCCACATAGTCCAGAACAGACTAGAGATCTCCACATAGTCCAGAACAGACCTGAATCCAGTAGACTTCTCAGGATGACTAGAGATCTCCACATAGTCCAGAGCAGACTAGAGATCTCCACATAGTCCAGAACAGACCTGAATCCAGTAGACTTCTCAGGATGACTAGAGATCTCCACATAGTCCAGAGCAGACTAGCGATCTCCACATAGTCCAGAACAGACCTGAATCCAGTAGACTTCTCAGGATGACTAGAGATCTCCACATAGTCCAGAACAGACTAGAGATCTCCACATAGTCCAGAACAGACCTGAATCCAGTAGACTTCTCAGGATGACTAGAGATCTCCACATAGTCCAGAGCAGACTAGAGATCTCCACATAGTCCAGAACAGACCTGAATCCAGTAGACTTCTCAGGATGACTAGAGATCTCCACATAGTCCAGAACAGACTAGAGATCTCCACATAGTCCAGAACAGACCTGAATCCAGTAGACTTCTCAGGATGACTAGAGATCTCCACATAGTCCAGAGCAGACTAGAGATCTCCACATAGTCCAGAACAGACCTGAATCCAGTAGACTTCTCAGGATGACTAGAGATCTCCACATAGTCCAGAACAGACTAGAGATCTCCACATAGTCCAGAACAGACCTGAATCCAGTAGACTTCTCAGGATGACTAGAGATCTCCACATAGTCCAGAGCAGACTAGAGATCTCCACATGGTCCAGAACAGACCTGAATCCAGTAGACTTCTCAGGATGACTAGAGATCTCCACATAGTCCAGAGCAGACTAGAGATCTCCACATAGTCCAGAACAGACCTGAATCCAGTAGACTTCTCAGGATGACTAGAGATCTCCACATAGTCCAGAACAGACTAGAGATCTCCACATAGTCCAGAACAGACCTGAATCCAGTAGACTTCTCAGGATGACTAGAGATCTCCACATAGTCCAGAACAGACTAGAGATCTCCACATAGTCCAGAACAGACCTGAATCCAGTAGACTTCTCAGGATGACTAGAGATCTCCACATAGTCCAGAGCAGACTAGAGATCTCCACATAGTCCAGAACAGACCTGAATCCAGTAGACTTCTCAGGATGACTAGAGATCTCCACATAGTCCAGAACAGACTAGAGATCTCCACATAGTCCAGAACAGACCTGAATCCAGTAGACTTCTCAGGATGACTAGAGATCTCCTCATAGTCCAGAACAGTTAACAGGCACAGCAAGCCCTCTGACCCTCGCAGCGAGCAGACGCTCCGGTCTCTCTCTCCGACCCTCGCAACGAGCAGACGCTCCGGTCTCTCTCTCTCAATGTTTAGCCAGATTTAGAAGTGAAGATGTAGTCACTCGTTCCAGACACGTTATCTTCAAGCCACATGTTTCCGGTCCAGAAACACTTTCAGAACATCCTGCACATTTTGGGGGGCACTCTCAGAATTAGAGCCATTTCTCCCGCATCGGCGCAGCGTCCACAGCAGCTAGACCAGGCATCTCTTATCCAACCGCCTAGGCCCTCGGCCGCTCGTCATCCCAAGCGTACCACGCTTACATCCGCAACATCTAAACGACGTCTGACATGCACACGCTTAAGTCAGCTGCTTTTAATCCGACTCTTTTGGGGGACCGTAATCAGCCCACGCAGTTCATGCCGGAGACGGAACCCCCACTCTGAGTCTCCCACAGCACGGACCATAGCTCGTCCTCCCAGATCACCTCTTCACCCACCTCATATCCTTCACATGTTACTTCAATAAACGCACAAACATCACACTGTTGTGGCGTGGTTCTTGCTAGTGAAATGAGGTTAAAATGTTAACATAGGTTCAGGAGCATGGCCACGCCTAAAACTCCGCCTCAAACCACAGCCACCCCTATTTATATCCGGCAAAGCTTCCGGCAAACGCTTGTCTCATCTTTCAACCCACCCTCCCTCACCCTTCTACCCATAAACATCCTCTGCCCATCACCATTTATATCTAAACGGTGCATATCTATACTGCGTATACTAACATTAAACTCCAGGTATCGTCTGGGGGACCGTAATCAGCCCACGCAGTTCATGCCGGAGACGGAACCCCCACTCTGAGTCTCCCACAGCACGGACCATAGCTCGTCCTCCCAGATCACCTCTTCACCCACCTCATATCCTTCACATGTTACTTCAATAAACGCACAAACATCACACTGTTGTGGCGTGGTTCTTGCTAGTGAAATTGCTTTAAGAGAAATTTGAAAGTAAACACAGAGCCAACTTGCTGTGATACGATTGGGAAGAATTTAATTGAATTGCCTCGCTCAATGCGACAGCGTTCAAATAGAAGTGGCATGTGTTCAGAGCATATTATTATAACTGGTAGGCTAGCGGTGATAATAGCCAGTAATTTTGATTGTTTCTTTGAACCCCTGTGATATCTTTGTTGTATTTAGAGTGGGGCTTTTGTTTTTTTTGTTCATTGTTGGGTGTCTTTTTCCCTAGATGATTGTTGGGACCAGGACTCCTGCAGGTGTGTGAGAGTGGGCTCAGAACCGGTGCGGACCCTGCTGGTGTTGGACGACTCGGTGTGGGCGAGCTGTGGGAACTCTGTCACAGCCGTTGACAGCACCAGCCTCAACACTCAGGTAAATGACTAAATCATTGCTCGGCACATACTGTCGCCATTTATCTGAACGATTTTTAATCCATCAAATCTTCATGAGCAAATGATCAGAACAGTGCGTTATTTATTCAAATGCAGTCTAAATGTTCTAATCTTTAATCAATAACGTAAAAATAGCCTCATTGGATTATTGTCAAGATTTGAAGGGTATTGGAATGGATACAAATGAATGTTTGTATTTTCTGCTTGTGTATACATTGTTTTTGAAATGATTTATTTAGCCTGATGGAAATAACTGGACCTGGATGGAATAAGCAAACATTACAGAACACTTTTAACATATATATTATTATTAATTATTTAAATAGTTGTTTACCTAATTTGCTCTCTGGGGTTTTCCCTTTCCTGTAGTGTGTTATATAGGTTTGTGTGCATGTAAATGGTCTGCAAAGGCTAAAATCCCAAAGCTCCCTCCAGAGGAAGTTTCTCTCTCACACCAGACATAAGGAATATAATATATATATATATATATATATATATATAGATGTATTTGACCAATTAAAACACTTTTGTTTGATAGGATTGTCTAGCCACTTAAAGAACGAGCTTCAATGAAATGTCCTGTTTCTTCCATGTCTGTTTACAAGCTACAAGCTCAGTCGTCACTAAAACGTGGCCTGAAGACCCAACTGGATTAATTAAACTGCTAGTCAAGGTTCCGTCTTTATTTGCTTGTTTTGCAGTGAAAAACTCCTCTCTTTGCTTCCTGAAAACATGTTTACACACAGCCTTCAAGAGCCTTCTTTGTAATCTGTGATGTCATCAGAATGCATTGTCTGAAGGTCGCTGCATTGACAACGAATCAAACTCCTTTTAGGTTCATATAATGTTGGATATCTCACACACAAAGAAGCTTTATTTAGCTGTAGCGCTCTGAGCTCTGAGTTATGGTGTGATGCTTTTCATTATCCCACTAAAGCAGGGGTGTCAAACTCAAATACAAAATAAAAAAATCGGTACTAGTCGAGGGCCGGACTGGTTCAATGTTTATTGCAAAACTTATTGAAATGAACTTATTGCTCATATTAAACCTGGAACTAACAAAGCTTAAACATTAAATAATCAGTTGCATTAATTTCTTATGGCTCTATTTGCAGCTTTTCCAGAGTCATTTCTTATGATTACATTTTTCCACAGGCCAACAGCTTCAAAAAAATGTCCCTCAAAGAAAAAACCAAACATGCCCTGTTGTCGTGAGACACAAAGTGCAGAAGGAAACATCCATTGAAACTCAGTTTGCTGCTCTGTGATGCTAGTTCAAGCCAGATACTTGGCATCTCATCTTGGGTGCAAGGTCATCAATGTTTGGGGTCAGGCTCTGAGCTGAGTAAATCCTCAGGATTGAGTGAAGGTGTGCGTGCAATATACCAGCGGGCCAGATCTAATAGTAATTAGAAATTATCCTGCGGGCCGAAATTAAATCCACCAAGGGCCTGATTTGGCCCCCGGGCCTTGAGTTTGACACATGTGCACTAAAGCATCCTGGGAGTCTCTGTCATGCTTTCCATTTTTGTGTAGTCATTCTCCAAGGTGTTCATCGGCACAGTGTGTCATTAGGTGTATGAAGGAGGGCGCCCTCTCCAACCGCGGTAGGCAATAATGAATGACAGACAACAAACTCTTCTGGGTGAAGTTAATATGGTATTCAGATAGCGAACTGCAAACCATTACCATTTCATTATAGCTCCCTGATGTGAGTTTGCATTGCTGTGTAAATGGGCAGATGGGCTTTTGTTGAAAAGTTGCATGTGTGCTACGCAAACATATGATGCTGAATTTCAATAACCAGATGAAATAAAGCACTTAAAGTAAACTAAATAAATATATCATTACCAACATCATATACATTCAGTTTGAAAAAGGAGCTACATCCCCAGACAAACAGAATCTGAAATGGTCAAATGTACAACCTTTAATACAGACACAGCTACTTATTGATTTTGCATCAAGATCCTCATAATCAGGAGTGAGCTGAGGTACCGATGTCTTTTATTCCTTCACCTCTTTTCCCTCACCCAGTCCTCCGGAGACACTAGCTTAATCAGCTGACTGGCCACGCAGTGAAGCCACAGTTCTGGTTCACTGTATCTCCCACAGAGCTTAGCAGGTCAGCTCTGGTTACTTCCTCACTAACCTTGTCTTCCTCGCTAATATGGACTCAAGAGAGCTGCCTTCACAGGGGCTGCAGTGCATATCCAGGATCTGGAGAAGCATTGCGTGACACCTGTACCAAGAGATGTGAGCATTAGAGCATGGCTATAGGGTCGTGGGCTCATATTCACTTCTCTTCTTTTTGTTGGTTTTCCCTGCGGAGATTTGCCACTTTGTCAGTTTTTATGCATTTTTAAATCATTTATCTATGACTTGTTGGACAGTGTAGCCTGCCTCATTTGACACTGCTTATAGTTGCACCCTAAGGCTTTATTTCATCTCTTTTTAAATCTTCAAAGTAAATGCCTTGATGACACAGTGTTATTCAAATATAACCCTTTTCAGTCTGTTTTGGGTAAACGCTGCTGTATGCCTACTATGTGGTTGATTCGGCAGCAACAGAAACCCAAAGGACCATCACCGAATAAAAATGTGTGTGTTCCTGCAGCTTTGAACTCTTTGATTATGTACTGTACACCAGGGATATGAATAAACTATAAACTATAGTGCTGACAAAATCTAAGAAATAGAATCGCTGCGTGAAAAGAGATATACAAAAATAGATATATTTACATTGACAAAGCTAAAATGGTGAAGTCTGGCAGTTCTAATGTTAAGTATATTTACAAATGTACAATAGTTAAGTTTGTTAGCATGCTAACATTTGCTTATTACCACTAAACACAAAATATACCTGAGACTGATGGTCGAAAAGAAACGTGTTGAAAGAAACAACCTTTGCAAAATGAAAATACAGAGGATCAACAAAGTGTTTCTAGTTAATCCTAATTGTTGGTACTGATCCAACAGATGAGCAACACTGTGGAGCTGCTGGTGGCAGTAGTAATTAAGACAACCCTACCTGAGGTGCTGACACTGCTAAGACCAGCTACAATTCCCACTACTGGTAGCTCTTGTTTGTCTCACAGATTTATTAAGAGAACTGGTTATAGTGCAGCCATGAGTTTCATACAACTGATAGACGTAGTTTCTTTGACGTCGCCCATTGGTTTATGAACTGGAGTTTCAACCCTGAGTTTGTTTTTTTGGAGCCGAAATTACCATCTTATGATTTATGCTTTGTGTCAATGCGCGTTATCCTGCTGGATGTAGCCATGAGAAGATGGGTGCACTGGTCTTAAAGGGATGGACATGGTCAGCAACAATACTCAGGTAGGCTGTGGCGTTGAAACGATGCTCAATTGGTACTAAGGGGCCCAAAGTATGACAAGAAAATATCCCCCACACCATTACACCACCACCACCAGCCTGAACTGTTGATGCAAGGCAGGATGGATCCATGCTTTCATTTTGTTTACGTCAAATTCTGACCCGTCCGATGGTGCAGCAGAAATCATGATTTATCCGATCAGGCAAGATTTTTCCAATCTTCTATTGTCCAGTTTGGTGAGCCTGTGCAAATTGTAGCCTCAGTTTCCTGTTTCTAGCTGACAGGAGGGGCACCTGGTGTGGTCTTCTGCTGCTGTAGCCCATCTGCATCCAGGTCCCATGTGTTGTGCGCTCAGAGATGGTCTTCTGCATACCTTGGTTGTAGCGAGTGCTTGTTTGAGTTACTGTTGCCTACAGTTATGTTCTGACCTCGGAGAAGAGCAATTCTGGTTTAAATGTAGATGAACTCAAATCCTTTATGTCTCTAGTAGTATATAGCCACACCCTCTTAAAAATTGCTATTCAGCATGAATATTGTATTAATACTAATACAACACTGTATATATTGTAATTTACATTTTATGAATTGTAGTAAAATGTGCATATTTTTACCTTTAACTTCCTATGTTTATATAAATATTTTTATTTTTATATATTTTTATTGCACATTCTGACTTTAACTTCTATACATATTTTATATTTTATTTATCTTGTATTTTGTTTTATTCCAAAATGGAGCAAGTGTCACTAAAGCCAATATATACACGACTGTATAATTTGCAAATGACATGTATATATTGTAGTACATTGTGCACATGTGTATGTTTAACTGAATAGTTTGTCTTTTATTTTGTCTTTTCTCAGACATTTTTACTCAAACTTATGTTTATATCAATATCTTTATTTTATTTTATCTTATCTTTATTGCACATTCTTACTCTAACTTCTTATGATAAATACATATTTTGATTAATGTGTTTATATACATTCCTCACATATATACAGTCTTCTGATTCTGAATGATTCTGAAGCAACAGCAATGTGTTCTTACATACACTTTCAGACACTTTTTGAGACGCCTGTGCATCCCAGTCAAATGAGACTATATACATTTAGTTCCCTAGACAGCCTCCCAGGTGGTTTCAAGCATATGGTAAGCAAGATGGCATCCAACAACAGCAGCATGACAGCCATGGATTAGCTGGAAGTCCCTTTTAGAAACCACCACGCCTAATAATGATTAATGTGATAATTATGAAGCATTATTCAGCACAGTATGTTTTTCCTTTATAAACTTGTCAACTTATTTGAATTGCAATGGGTTATTGAAGGTTGAAATAAGCCTTTTTATTATGGATATCACATTTTTTTATGGCTGCACTTGAAAAACCAAGAGATGCATTGCATATCCTTTCCCAGGCGGAGCAGGCACCCGCTGCTGAGGACTCAATTAAAAGAGAAAACACATCAAAGGCTTCTCTCCTTTTCCCTAATTTCCAACAAAGGAGGACCCACTGGCAAGGGCACACAAACAGGTGGTAATCCCTGTCTGCCGGTGCACTTTGGTTGGGGTAAGGGAGAGGGAGAGGGGAGGGTATTCTCATCTTCACTCTCCCGCGCTCTTGTTGACTAATTGCCCAGCCTCATGCAACTCATGCATTGTCGGTGATATGAGTTCCAAGATGATGCCCAAACCAACTCTTGTCACGCCTCGGACCTCAGGGGCTGCATGTGTTACCATGATAAGGCTCATTGCATTTATTTCAAGCTGCTCATTAAGACTGTGTGCCTCAAACTCTCTTTTATCCATTGTGCTCTTAAAAACACAGAAGCCAGGGGAATGATGCAAAAATATGCCCCGTGTGTCAGGGACTTTTGTCAATTACAAAATGAGGGGGGGACAGTTAGACTTATTTTACAGAAAAGCAAGTGTACTGAATGTAAGATTTAGAGAGTGTCTACTGACCTCATCATGTCATCCTGTGACAGTTATCTTGTAATGTTTTGACATGTGTGAGCACTCAGTAAATCAACTTTGAAATAAATGTCAGTAGTTGGCATACCAATTAAGGAGCTGTTAACAGATTGAGCTAGGATGAAGCATGATGCAGTCAGCACAGTCTGAGCTTCCCTTTGTTGCTATGACTTTTATGTGTTTGACACATTGTCTTTGTCTTTCTTTCCCCTCCATTGTTCTTTATTTTCCTTTTCCTACCATCAACAGTTCCTTTTCCTTTTTTTCTTTGTCGATTGTAAAGTATTGAACAAAAATTCAAATTCTTATTTGTTCAGCTTCCGTCTGGTATTACCACTTACATTTAGACCTGGATGGTATGTCAGTTTGTAATTAGAAAGAGGATTGGTTTGATGTTCTGTTTGATTGATATAGAATATAAGTCCATATTTGTTCTTCTTTTTATCAGGCACTGCGTAATAATATGTTTAATTCTGTAAGAGACAAATATATATTTATTTTGTAGATTTCGATGAGACTCAAAGATTGACCTCCCATATTCAAAATGTAGCTTTGCTAAGTATATTGCAACTTTTTCTGTGTATTGTTAATTGCAAAATAAATATTTATAGGGGTATACAGTAAAAGTAATTTATTCTTCTTTCCTTCACAGACGTTTGAAGTGCACCCAGACAAAATGATCAGCGTGGCTCACATGGCGTGTGCCGGTGGAGGGGTGTGGATGGCATTCTCCGAGGGTTCTTCCATTCGTCTCTTTCATACTGAAACACTGGAGCTTCTGCAGGAAATCAACATCTCCACACGCTCAACGCTGCTGAACACCGGTACACACACACACATCACACTTTGTCATCTTGACCTCCATATAGAGAGGTCAACCTCTATCCTGCAGAGCAGCTCAAACACTTTTCTACAACATAAAATTGTTTAGCTTTAAAACTGCACCACAACATTTCATTTTCTTTGAACTTGGAACATTATTCTTTATTATGTTAGAGCAATAAGAGGGCCCCAGTTTAAAGAGGACATATACTTATTTTCAGGTTCTTATTTGTATTTAGTGCCTCTACTACGACAGGTTTCCATGTTTTAATGTTCAAAAAGCTCTTTCATTTTCTCATACTGCCTGTGCTGCAGCACCTCTTTTCACCCTCTGTTTGAAACCAGAGCCTAGTCTGCTCTGATTGGTTAGCTGGCCGGCTCTGTTGTGATTGGTCAACCACTTAGAGATGTTCCACTCCTTAAGCTGCATTCACGATACGCATTTGCTCTTTGCTGACCGCAAGTTTAGGCTCAGAGTCTGGCGGTGAAAACAGCTAGTTTTGTTTCTCTGGTTACAGCGCAGCTATATATAGCTGTCTGTGATTGGCTGCGCGTCTGAAGGTAGTTCTTCCTCCTTATCGGGCACCACCGCTCTCTCCATAGAAATGCAACAACAGCACAGAACTGTTGAACCATTTATCATGTGAATTCAGCCCTACAATGTGTTGGAGAGCTAGCCAATAGAAGCCAGAGTGTAACATAATGATGTCATTATGTTAAGGAAGTAACCAAGGGGTTTCGATGTAAGTTCAGGCACGGGGGGAGTATGTGGGAGAGAAACTCCCTTTGGGGGGAACTTTTGGATGTTAACCTTTGCAGACCTTTTCATGCACAACAACCTATAAAACACACCACAGAAAAGAGAAAATCCCCCCAAAACATAGTAGGGCCCCTTTAACATTGGGGATGCTGTCCTCTCCAGAACAGTATTCCTGTCTTGTCCATGTTGCTCCTTGGGTCTTGCACTCCGGGGACTGACCTGAATATGTATCCTCCTCAGGCCTTCGCAGAGCCATAATAGAGCTATGGGATGAGACATAGTGATTAATACAAAAAGAAAAAAGGTAATTTAGGAGCAGTAAAATGGCAGCCTTGAAGATTTTCATACTAAAGGTTCCCATGGAAACGCTCTTGTCTTTCTTTAAACGTCCGTGCTTCTGTGGTATTATGCCAGTTTTACCTCTTTTTCTCAGCATGTACCTCCCCTCTTTCATCCCTTGTGAGTCAATATGTTCCTTTCTTTTTGTCCCACTTTCTCCCTCTCACTCGCTCTGCTTTAAAATCCTCTCACCCTCCATTCCTCTCTTTCAGTCTGTTTAGGAAGCCAGATATACTCTTATGACTTCCTGTGTGCCTTCCTTTATGATGGATGAAATATTTATCAGCTAGTGTGGGTGTTTTTTTTAATATATTTTCAGGAAAGAAGCATGGTAAACAAATTAGATGGCAATGAAGCGTACCTAAAACTGCAAAGCATGATAACTGCAGCACATGTGACTCAATGTGTTGCCTCAAACATGTTCTGGCTGTGACAAGTGGGCCATCAACTCACTCACTACAGGTGAATATCATTTTGAGCTTCAGGGAGTGGTATAAACGCATCTGGATTTAAACAATTTTGTCCTTTTGGTTGAGTCACACCAGGCTGTGATTGATGTATTTAGAGCAATACTCATGGCTGTGGTAGCATCAGAATAAAAAAAACTAGGCTTTCTCTAGTGAGTTGAGTAAAGAGCAAAGAATAAAAAACAGCAATGTGTTTCAAGCACGAAACTTTTAGATCAAAGTTTTTTTTTGCTTTTTTTTTTTGGGAGACTTAAAGGAGAGCAGGCTCCTATGGTACTTGTATCTGGAGGAAAACCGTGACCCAGAGGTCATTTTCACCCAGCTTCAGTGCTTCCCCTTGAAATATGCAGCGGATTTGAGAAAGGGTGGCAGCCTCAAAGCCTCGGCCCTGGGGGAAGTTACAGGGTGAAAAGAAAAAGAGTTGTTCGGCTCATGTCTTCAGGGTCCACAAAAGGAAGAGGATCTTTGACTTAAGTTGTGATTTGTTGAGCTCACAAGAGAAAAGAGGATCCCCCCCGACACCCTACAACCGCAGATGAAATACTGATTGTTCCTCTCTATCAATGGGGTCTCTGCTCCCGTAGGTTTCTCCTTGACTTATGCTAGGACATGCAGTAATGATATACCCCCTAATCCTTTCTCCTTAATGTGATTTATACTCAACAGGGAATCCACTTGCTGTAAACAACAGAGAAGTTTCTGAGGCAGAGGAAAGTGCTGATCTCTTCTCTTTTAATGCCTTTAATAGTTCTTTCCTTAGGGGGAACAATAATATCCCAAAATAAAGTCCTCAGTGACATATCACAGGGAAACATTAATCTTTGGAGACATCTTCTTTTTAAAGCAAATACCAGCTTCTACGATAAACCCGCTACACACGGTGTGCATTACTGCGAGAATTGGAGGTGCAAGATAGCTCGAGGTTAAGCTATACCTCCTTAATCTCAAGTGCCTTTGTCATTATCCGTCTTTATCACTGTTCTTATAGACAATGCCTGGCGCCAACATCTTCTGAATTCAGATTTCATGGCGTCACTTAAACTCTTTACGAACAGACTCCAAGGGCGATGTGAGCAGGTGGCAGACAGTTTTGAGATAAATGCAGTTTTTTTCTTGTCAACGCCTCACCCACTGCTGTGACCCTCCAAGGTCTCCCCCTAAAGGCTCACTGTTTGCTGAATAAGAAATCAGAAACTGTATTCGTCCCACAGCGGGGACAATTTAAATTGTTACAGCAAATGGACAGTGCAGATAAAAGACTAAGACTAATATATGAAATAAGAAACACTCAGCCCTATTGTGCTTTTAGGGGTTGTCCATTTCATGTACTGTGTTATATAGGTTTTTGTGCACGTAGATGGTCTGCAAAGTCTAAATTCCCCCTTCCCTGCCAGACATACCTTGATTGGACTCCTATGTTTACTTCTGTAAAAAAATGACATCGCTATGTAACACTCACGCTTCAATTGGCTAATGCTCCAACACACTGTAAGTGATAAGCTAAGGGGCGGGACATCTCTAAGCAGTTGACCAATCACAACAGAGCCGGCCAGCTTACCAATCAGAGCAGACTGGGTTCTGGTTTCAGACAGAGGGTGAAAAGAGGTGCTGCAGCACAGGCAATATGAGAAAATTACATAATATAAAAATACAAATACAAACATGAAATGATAATAATAGGGCCCATTTATTAAAAGACAAGTACATATCGAAGGTACAAAAATATGTTCCTTTGCTCTGCCTCCACTTCCAAGTACAGCATCAGCTTCCTACTTTGGATGATTCATCTCTGCAAACTGAAATGAATTAATTAATGACACCTTTGAGCCACTGGTGCAAATCATCATAATCTGAGCATGACACAGAACAAACATGTAAATACAGCTACCCGTGTAAATGAGCATTCTCTTGGTTACGGGTGCGGGTGTAATTCAATTACAGTTTCCATGGATATTATGGTAAATGTTTCCATAGATAACTAGGCCAGAATGGGAGCCAAGAGCTCAGGGACCACAGAAGGAATGCAAAAATAAATCCACAACAAACAATGTTCTTCACCCCTTTGTTAAGTGGAAACAAAGGATGTGCATGTATAATAAGAGTGTGCAATTATCCTTTCCCCATCACAAATGCAGTGCTACAAAAACCGCTCTGCAGTAGAAAACTTCCCAACATGATACTAATGTTGGCGCTTGCATCATGTGCAGGATGAAAAGATTAACCTTTATCCAAAGTTCCTCCCAAGGATATAGGGAACAGAAAATCACCCTGAGTTACTTCAGTTTCAATATTCCTCTAGTGTGTAATACAGATTTGTGTGCATGTAAATGGCCTGCAAAGGCTGAAATCCCAAAGGTCCCTCCATAAGGAGGTCGCTCCCAAACACCTCCATTTGATTCCTTTGTTTGCTTCTGTGACATAACGACATCACTATGTAGCACTTGCGATTCTATTTGCTAGCGTTCCAACACATTGTATGTGATGGGATAAGGGGCGGGACATCTGTAAGCAGTTGACCAATCACAAAAGAGCTGGCCAGCTAACCAATCAGAGCATGTAGGCTCTGGTTTCAGACAGAGGGTGAAAAGAGGTGCTGCAGCACAGGCAGTATGAGAAAAATAAAGAGCTTTTTGAACATTAAAGCATGGAGACATGTCACAGTAGAGGCACAAAATACAAATATGAACCTGAAAATAGGTATATGTCCTCTTTAAACTGGGGACCTCTGATTGCTCTAACACAATAAAGAATAATGTTCCAAGTACAGAAGAATAAGAAACAAGAATTGCAATAAAAACAAACTTGTTTATGATAAACTTAGCAATAATTAACAGACTTATAATTGAATGTGTAAGTTGCAGTGCCATAGCAGCTACAACAGAATTAAAACATGCCCTCAACAAAATGATAGAAACTGAAAAGGGTATTGTTTATTGAGAAGGACTATGATGTCTGTACCAACTGTAGAGTACACTTCTCTGCCTCTTCCCTCTATCTGTTTAGCTATTAAAGTAGGACATATGAACTTTCAAGTTCAGGGTTTCAAAAACACTCAGACACTCTTGTAGAGACATGAGAGTTTTCCTTTCAACTGGGTCAATAGCAAGTAAACAAAATCATTTTTTCATCATCTTATGTAACTCATAGCCGTAGCTGGCTGTACTGTGCATGTTAAGCTTGTCAAATACTGATCACAGAGCCTTAGCAAAAGCCAACCCACAATCACATTTTCTAAAACTTATTTCATAATGTCTTATTTTATTCATTTATTATTTAATTTTTTGTTGTTTTTGTTTGTTTTTGCCTGTCCTTGTTTGTCGACCCTCCCTCACACTGTAAAGCGTCTTTGAGTTCCAGAAAAGCGCTATATAAATATAATTTATTATTATTATTATAATGCTATAGGGCAGCTTCCTGAATATTTTTTTTTTAAAGAACTTCTGGTAACGCTACAATGAATAATAGTTCATAATACACTATTGAAAGGGGCCATTTATGCTTTTGGGTTAAAAAGTTTCTCTCCCACCCACACACGCCTCCATTGGACTCCTAACCAATCAGAGCAGACTGGGCTCTGGTTTCAGACATAGGGGGGAAAGATGTGTTGCAGCACAGGCAGTATGAGAAGAATAAAGACCTTTTGAACATTAAAGTATGTTAACATGTCACAGTAGAGACACACAATATAATTACTGTATGAACCTAACATTTGCATAATAGGGCCCCTTTAAGCTGTCAAATATTGATCACAGAGCCTAAACCTTAGCTAAAGCTTCTTCATGCTCGGGCACCTTCCCAAATACATTGCTTTGGAAGAACCTCTGGTAATACTAAAATCTATTGTAGTTCATAATTCACTCTTTAAGAGACTGACCAGTCAGTCTGTATATTTTGTATTATGACTTCATCAGGGAGAAAATATGATTATTTCCAAAGAGCGCAGTGTTGTAATGTTGTGCTGTTTCTCTTTCTACAACAGCAAGTGGTGGAGAAAAACTCATTTTTTTTGGTCTATTTTCTATATTGCAGGTCAAAAGAACATGCGAGTGACGAGTCTGCTAATTTGCCAGGGGCTGCTCTGGGTGGGCACTGCCCAAGGCCTCATTATCACTCTTCCAGTCCCCAAACTGGAGGGCATCCCCAAAATAACAGGTATGGATCAGACGGGCAGGCTCACTGTGATTGAACAGCTTCTTGAGAGGTCAAAAATAATGTTATTTTTTATGGATGAAAATGACTCTGCGCTGCCCATTATTGAGGTCACACTTGGTGGTTCTCGGAATCATTGCCAATATAACCAGGCAAGCAAACACACACATCACACTGTTCATATGTATATTGTTGCAGGGTAATTTAAAAACTGCCTGCCAGCGTTTTGTTAATTATGCCAAGTGAATGAGGTTGTTAGCTTCCCACTTGCGCAAATCTGACCTTGTTATTCCAAGCTAGTTTATTGAAAACTATGTAAAAACAGCACAAACATCATCTCCAATTATTACTGTTACAGCAGCATAATCATAATAAATACAGTTAACTGACATACATTATGATCCAGGGTTCAAGTCATTTTTAGTTCAAACTGCGGCTTGCTTAATAGTCTTTTGTAAGTGGACATTGACTCAGTGCACTGTTTGTATAGTGGTGCATTCAATTTGTAGGCTGACCCAGTGTGTTACATTGCAAGGGCTCCCTTGACAAAAAGCAATGGGATTTATCCATTGGATTTCGATATATTGATGAAAATAAGCATTATGAAAAACACACATTTCTGATGATTCTTAACATATTACCACCACTTTATGATCTTTTAAACGTAAAGACAATTGACAAAAGTTAAAAGCTAACGTTATGCTATAAACAAACTACATCATAGTCGCATGGCTGCGCATCACCAATGCTGAGCTAAGATAAGCTATCCGAGACTTGTGTCAGCGTCATGACGTTTTATAGTTTATTTAGTCACTTCTCAACAGCCACTGTTCTTACTGTATGACACGTAGAAGCTTCGGATATTCACAAGTGAGTGTTGACTGACAAATGTCATGTTCGTACAACAAAACGTGAAACTCTTTTAAGCTTTTGTTGACCCAATACTTTATTTTCACGCTTCTAACCACCTCTGTTGAATTTGAGACAAGGGAACCGGAAGGTGTAAAATGCTAACTCATTTCTAGATTTGAGGACTCATTCCTGCACCACTCTAATGTCCTTCTGCATGACCTTTAATATCATATCTTACTTCCTCCTACAGGAAAGGGAATGGTCTCTCTGAATGCACATTGTGGGCCTGTTGAGTTCCTGGTGGCCACCACCAGCTCTCTGTCCCCTGACCTCCTGAAGAGAGACTCTTTCGGGGACGGGCCGGACTCTGCGTTTGGCGGCGAGGAGCGCAGCGACACCTCGTCCCAGGAGTCCCTGCAGCAGTCCTACCAGGGGGAGGGGCGGGGCAAAGGCCGCGGCGTCCTGCTGCAGTACAAGCTGCGCTCCACATCGGGACTGCCCGGGCGCCCGCTGACAGCGATGGGCGACGAGGCGTCAGACTCCTCCCTGGAGTCCTTGGAGCACAGCGTGGAAGACGGGTCCATCTACGAGCTCAGCGACGACCCAGACATGTGGGTCCGGGGACGTCCTTGTGAGCGGGAGGGGGGCCGCAGGGACAGGGTGATCTCTGCGGCGGTCATCTCTGGAGGAAAGGGCTTCCGTAGACTGAAGGAAGGAGCGGCAGCCGGCACGAGGACGAGCGGGGAGGTCTTAGAGAATAATCTGATGGTGTGGCAGCTCCCTCTGACAGTGTGATATGGAAAACATACGGCAAGGTGAGGAGTATTTATAGCCGTATACCCAGCTTAGCCTTGAATCAACCGCTCCATATATTCAAGGGATTTGAATAAACATGTATGATGTGAAGGCGTCGCGGAGCTTGACATGTTATGATCTAGCCTGTGAATAAGGAAGCAGAGGCGCTGTCAGCCAATAGGACGCTTTGAATGTTTCGGGGTCGTGCGTCACCAGGCCGCCTCAGATTAGCTCCCTGTGATTGTTTTGATCTGGTTCCTTCGTTAAGACTGATATGCCTCAATTTAACCTCATCATGGCGCCGTGTGCTGTGCCACATTAATTTTACGCGAATGACTTCTGTGCGAGCGGCCGTGGACGGCGCGCCTTTGAGAGGCAGCCTTTGTTGAATCTGCCACGCTCTGCAGAGTCGGAGATGGACATCTTTGATCTGATCCTGGGGGAGAGATCCCATCTGTTTGGAGCTGAGAGCCGGGGACTTCCACCGCATCACAAAGCACATTAGCATCACTTTATTAGCTTTGCCAGCCTTTCTCTCATCCCATACAATGTGAATGTATGATACCTTCTATTGTGTCTCAAAATTGAATCTGTGTTCTCTTTAAAAAAAAAGAAGAAGGATTTAATGTTTCCTGTTTGTTGCAGCTGTTGCAGATATCACTTTTGGTTATGGAAAACCATGGAAACAAGACTCAAAGATGTTATTGCGCCAAATTACAGAATCTACATTTGCACTGTAGAAATCCTGTAAGATCTCCGATTTCTGTTCAGGAAAAAGAAACTTCTTGGTGCCACATTATTTTGCCCAGATAAAACACTGTTTTTTCCTTTTTTCATGACATCCATCAGATAAATGAAACATGTGCGCACAGGGTTGTGACACAGCTGGAAACCCCAGTTACACATCAAAAGCAAAACTCTAAAAATAATAATGAATGATAAAATAAAAGCGCTACAGCTATCGAAACTGCTATCAGATATGTATCAACAGTGAAAACATAGCTCAGAGGGCCACTAATTATTCATTATTATTAATAACAAACAACATGATTCTGATTCAAGATGGTGTTTAATGAAACATAGCATACAATTAACAGACATTGATGTATATTATCTCTGATATTTGCCAGGACCTTGCATCATGTGTCATCAACACTTGTTTTGAAGCTAATATCTGGTAAATATTTGGAGTTTAATGCAAACATTAATATTCTATGGTCAAGAAATGAGCATGACGTTAACATTTTAGTGATTATCATGTTTCAAGATCATTTGAAATATGACATAGTCTATCTTTAACCAGATTTTTAAAACATTTTAAACACATTTAAGGTATAAAAATGCATTGATATTCGGTCTGTACAAGCTCTTCTTTTTCGTTAATCATACAATGATGAGATTTTGCCAATATAGCAACAGGAGTATGGTGAATCACAGCTGGTATAATAAGCACTAAGTGGTACTGTGTGTAATATTGCTAAGTGTTTGCTTCATAACTTTTTATTTGGATCTTATGGTAACATTGGCAGGCTTTTGAACATTGACATCAATCCTGCAGATTAACAGTGCATGTTCAGTTAGACAAGTGGGCGGAGGAAAATCACAAATACGAACGCAGCTTTGTGGATTTTCAATAAAATGGAGAGCAGGTGAAGGTTGTGTTATATCACTTTTCTCCACATATATGTCTACTCAGCCCTTCCGCCACAAAAGGAATTTCATCTTATCCTTTCATCACAGACGAAGCGCAAAGTTCATGTTTTGTATTTCCCTGCGGCACATTCAGGTTTATTTTCCCTTTTCTTCTTCTCCTGCTCACAACTGACTGCATCAAAAGCATTTAAACATCCTGCCTTCAGCCGGAATCACTGAAAAAAAAAAAATGACTACGTCCTTGGATGCTGTCATCTAAATGTAAATCTCGATGTCACGTCAGAAATGTATACTCTTAATTCATGTGCGATTCAATGCTGCTGGATCCATAACGCCATGATGGTCACTGCGGAGGTTGTTCGCTCAACCCTAACCAGGGGAGGCGTGTGTTTTCATCGAGTTTCATAAGCTTATCAACTGAGATACAGTATCATCTCCAACTGACATTTGATGGACATTATTTCAAACAATTCATCTTCTTACACTACATGTGTACAGGTATTATCCATGCACTGAATATTAATACTTATGAATGACCGTACTGTACTACTAATTTGAAATGTTACTAATTAAAAACCTGCATTCCCTTTTGTAAAGAGGACTCTGCAACAGTGTTGATGTATAAAATGAGATTGTGGTGTTAAAGGAGAAGTCTAGTTAATTTTTGAAAGGTTTGGCCATCATTCAACACATACAGTGAGATCTGTACGGTGGCCAACGGGTGCAAATGCCCTACAACGGTGCAAAACATTTCCATTTGGAGAAATTAGCTGCAGCTAAAGAAACGATGTTAATACAAAAGTGTTTTGCTTTTCATTTATGCAGCGCTTTTAGTAAACCCTGTGCATGTTTCATCAAGTTGGTGAGTGTTTTCTAAATGCTGCACATGTGTTGTCGTCAAGTTGGTTCATTTGCATGTGTTAATGCGCATTGGTGTTTTTTATTTGCATTGTTTTGAAACTGCAGCGCAGTTCTCCTAATGGAAGTCTTTTGGGCCTTTGTAGCCATTTGCACCTGTCGGCCTCCGTAGCTTTCAGAGATTATAGTCAGACCTCAAAAAAGATGTTCACATGAGGCCGTAATCCTCTTCCATACGACACATACAGATCTGGGATTGATGGAAACATCACTAAAAACAAGTCGGCACTATAAGAAACACAAACAGTCAAATGATCATACAGGTTTTAAACAAACACTTTGCATTTTCAGAATTCTTGGTAAGCAACACAGGAAGAAACCTTTTTTTCAGCTACATTTTCTGACATCTGTCACAGTTTACACACTGACTTCCATGTTCAACTTTGCCCTACCATAGCACCGTTTGTTCCTGTGCGATGAGGCGTGATTACTGACATGATGGGTGCGTTGACCTTTAGTTTTACCACCTGTTGTGCACGTGTTCACAGCCTGTGTGATCATCTGGCTGCTCTTCTCTTAACCTGTCACATCTTGTTGGAGGGATACCTCACCGATTGCTTAGGTGTGTACAAAATGGAGAAGAATTACATTAAATGATGGCCAAATCTGTAAAGTAAGGTTACAAAAATTATTAACTGGAATGATCCTTTAAGCAAGAGTATTACACTTGATGCCGTCACAGGCGTGTGGAAACACGCTGCTCATTTCTCCTTGGTACTTTAATGTTACATGTCTAACAGGCGAATGCTGAATTAAAAACATGTTTAAACTTGAGTTGTCCTTTTTTTATTTCACTGAATCATAATGATGTGGCTTTATTTTGTCAAAGGTACAGTAGGCTTTGAGATAAACCGTACGTCTGTAGCATTATTATGCTAACTCTGTTCCACTTTCTTTATGACTCAGCAGCAGAACATCTAGTCCTTGATGTTTCATTTGGATTATCGTATCACTTTGTTGCTGTTTGATTATTCAAATTACAATAAGCTTACCTCTGTGTCTGCTGGAAGCCATGGCTTAAAAACAACACAGACAGGGAAAACTAACAAGAATACAGACACTGAATTGTAAAAAGAAAAAAGACTTGTAATTTAGTTATGTTAATGTGGTCCTCAGCGGCGTTCATCTCTAATACTCTAGCCTCTAGACATCACATTAAGGGTAGTCCAGTTTATTTGTTGTTGCTTTCTCAAGAGTATTGCTAGCTTAAAGTCAAAAGAAACATACAATTAGTGAGTTGATTTGAGAGAACATAACAATTAACCCTTTTTGGTTAAACTACTAAAACAATAAAACTACCCTTGGATTGACATTTCTTTTTATCAAAGAGAACATATTATGCTCATTTTTCAGTTTCGAGTATGTTGTGCCTCTACTGTGTCATTTTTACATGTTTTGTAGCAGGACGGGGGGAAATAAAAACTAAAATAAAGAACATGCAGAATATTCCTTCCCTGATCACAAAGGGGAACAAGCCACACCTGCGAACTGGGGGAAGCTAATCAGACAAATGAGTCACACCTGTGAGCTGTGGAGGAGAGAAGAGCTTTGCTGCTGCAAGATGGAAGAAGTGGAAGTCTGATCCAGCTGACATACCCAGTTGGACCACTGAACCCAGGAGCTGGTAGGATCATCTTCTGACCTGCATTCTGATCTGTGATTCTGCCTGGCTTGCACTCCTAGGTTGGGGATGGCCCTGAATTCTTCATTCATACACACCCATCCACCTGAACTGCAGCAATCTGAAATTGAACTGGTCTGTGTGACTGGAGTGTTAAACAACAATACAAACTTCTCAGACCCAAACATTCATTCACTCACTCCTCATGGTTTTGAGAAATTAGTCCTCTGTTATTTAATTAATGAATTCCTGTTTTGATATTTGATCATTTGATTGACATATTTAGTTTTGTAAATGTTGAGTATAAGTGTTTTTGGTATGGGACTGTATTTTGATCATTTTGCATTGTGATGCGCTTATTCAAATGTTTGGATTATCCTAGCTTGGTCACCGGGCATTCCCTTTTTTTGATATTTTAGATAAATAATTTAAACATTCTTCAGGCCAATCGAAGCGCGATATTAGGTAGTGATGTCACTATGTCAAACTAGTAAATAAAGAAGTCCAATCGAGGCGTTTCTCTGGAGGGAACTTTAGCCTTGGCAGACCAAGTAACCTGTATAACACACAACAGGGAAGAGAAAACACCATAAAGGGGCCCCTTTTAGATTGGTTTGGTCAATGTTATATTAACAGTAGAAGCTAGGAGTAAAAACAAGGAGAGGAAGGAGGAGATGCAGCAGGAATCTCTTCCTATGTGCAGAGTGAAACTCCTCAGATAAATGATGACCATTGAGACTTGGTTTTGTCACATATTTTAAGCCTCTTCACCTTTTATTATGCCAGCGGCTTATGTCACTTCAGGGAGACAAGTGGAGGGGGGTAGTTATGACTGCTTTATCTCCGTGTCTTTCCCTCGCTGTGTTTCTTTTTTTCCCTCTCTTCTTCACGTGTCAAAGAAGTCCTCCAGGAATACAAATCTACCATCCATCAAAGTAGGAAGTGAAGCTGTTTGCTTTTTCCTCATCAACAGGTCAATGTGTGCTGCTGACCTTTGACCTGAACGCTACATTAATAGCCTCCTCCTCCTCCCAACTCCACATGGAGCAGTCAGGTCACATAAAGCCCCCCCGTCGACGCTGACATTGTCACATAAAGGGGGCTCTACATCCACAGGAATTAGCCTCAGCTGTAGCCTTTAGGAATTTAGCAGGAAAGGTCAAAGCTAAAAGGAAGCCGAGGTGCTAAGTGCTGGAATGTAACTAAGTACGTTAAAACTACGAACTTTAACACCCTGCACTGCGCATGACTTGCACTGTACTACATACACATTGGTGAAATGTAGTATTACATTTACTCAACTTGTACTATTTAGACATAGCTTCAGGCCCGCCCCTCCCTACACGCAGATCACGCAGACTGCGTAGGGCCTCATCTTGCGGAGGGGGCCTCATCTTATGCGCAAATGCGGCGCAATTACTATGCCCTGCATAGCTTACTTGTACTTAAGTATTTCCATTTTATGATACATATACTTTTACTCAACTAGTATCTATTTAACACTCATAGTTAGTTTTTAAATACAAAACACAGTACTGTATTATTTATCTAGTCTTTTTTTTTAAATAACTTAAAGGAGATCTACAGATGGAGCGTCTTATTTTGGACAGTTTGAAACGCGAGGGTCGTGATTGGCTCGTGCACGTTCCGTGATTGGCCCGAGATCGGCCCGTGATGAAGAGCCGGCCCCCAGTCTGACTTGGTACCGCCCCCGTGATAAATAAATTTAATTATTGTGAAGCCAGCTGCAATGGATCATTGATCCACCAGGGGGTGCAGTGGGGTTCCACACTGAAGTCATGTGAAATCAACTTCGACACAGTAAACTGGATGTACAGTATGTCTGGTACTAATGTATAGCGGATCTTTGTTAAGATCCATATGTCACGGATAGGATCATAGTCTGTGCTAAATAAGACATGTAATCATTTACAAAACATCACCATGTTGTTATTTAACAAAATAATGTTGTTTAGTCGAAAAAAACGAACGAGCCAGCTCTCCCGATTTTTAATCCTAATTTAATCATCATCATTGATGTTTATGTTCGCCGAATTGACATGAAATCACTGACAAATATGAATATTGTAGGGCCATACCTATATAAGGTATATTTATACGTTTCTGTTTTCAAAATACCAAACAGATCATGCATTTTAGCCATGCCTCATTTTTGCTCTATTTGCTGTTCTCCAGCCCTGTTTTTGCAGGGGGCTGATTCTGTGAGCTGCAGCTGACCACGCCCCCCTGCAGGAGAGGGGAGCCGCTCTGATCAAGTCAGAAGAGGGGGAGAAAAATAGATCTCCGTCCTCCGTGTTTTATTATATAGAGTCGTTATTCATTTGTTTTAAAGCTCAATAAATAACAAAGAAGACCTTTGACCGGCACTTTTCTAATTTTGTCCGGAAGATTTAAACTTTAACGGACATCTTGACCGGCGAAAGAAAACCTAACTGAAACTCTGCCTGCACGGTCCCCTCGTTCCTTGGAAGAGGCGGAGAGGTGGGTGTTTGTCATCTGCTGGTGGACTAACCGGAGAGAATTACAGTGCTTGCCTCGACGGGGAGGGATTGCATTGAATTAAAGCAGCAGGAGCAAACGCTTGCCTCGGGGAGGGAGAAAAAAAGCCACAGCGGAGAATAAACAGAAGGGTAACCATGGTAACTATGGGCGGGAAGTCTTCTTCGCTGCTTTTGTGGCAGACTACAGCGCCACGTACAGGCCTGGCATATGTACTACAGCGTCTCCAGCGCTTTCGAGCGGCAATGGCCGGCCGTGGCCCAACCCCACATTCCCCTGATAGGTGGAGAGTTGGCCCAATAGCCGTAGCGCCACCGTCCTGACGTCAGGACAGTGTTCAAATCTGGATCAGTTTTTATCAGATCCGTTGCAGCCCCTTTTTTAGAGATTTGAGTATGGAGGAAAATAGAGAGGGTTGTGTTTTCTGACACTTGGTGAGTTCCCTGGAACACCGGGGACACATATTCATGTATAAAAGACGTACAAAAGTGCATTTTGCATGATAGGTCCCCTTTAAGTTTGACTTGCTCCTTCACATTGAAATGTATGTACTGTATATTCATAATCATTAATATCTGTGTATATGTGAAACATTTAAAATATTTAACTATACTGTCACTTAGACATTGGTATTTCTAGAGAGGGCCAACAGGGGCCCCTGTGACGATGAGCATGGACCCCCCCCCCCCCCCCCCCCCTCCCTACGATAGAGTCTATGATAATACCACCAGTGACAGTGTTAAAAAGTCTACACAGTCAATTGAGCCGAAGTTAACAGGAGGGATGTTATTTAAGTTCGGACAAAAATCCTGTAACTGAAACAAATACCAATCATGCTATTATATTTGAGCTTGTTGGAATCTTGAACACTTTCTTTGTCTCACATAAAACAAAAGGCCCCAGCTCGGCCCCCTCAGTGAAATAAATCTAGAAGCACCGCTACACTTGGATTCTTTATTTGTTATTCTAATGATCCTTGTTTGAACCTTTCCTTTTCTTCTTTCACTCGTATTGCTGTTGCTGCCATGACACCTGCATGTCCCTACAGGTATCAATAAAGGTTTAGTTTATCTTATCTAAGCTTCACATAACAGGCTGCATTTGGGTTGTTTAAATAAAAACAAGCACAGATATTTGTTTTTTTAATGAGATATTATGATATCTTCCCAAGTCATTCAACACTAGAAATGGGCATCAGAAAAAGATGCATCCCAGCCATTAATAAGCCTCCTCGTCCTCTGTGGATGTGTATAATCTAGGCTTTGTTTACTTGTACTCTTTTCAGTTTTGCCGCAAGCTCTCATTTACCCAAGTTTTTGGCTCGTAGATGTTATCCTGGGAGCGCCCAATACTCAAACCAGCATCCAGCAGCACAATGAGGATCACTCCGCTACAGGAAGCTCCTGAAAGGCTCCATAAAACTCCAGAGAGGATTGAGCGTGTAACACTGATCTGATGAAGCAGTGCTGAGTCGTGCTTTGTACCTGGGTCAGCATTAGAACACATCCTCTCCTGGAAGCAAAATGACAAAAAGAGATGCCCAAATGCTGACTCAAACAGTATAGGGCACAAATATGAGTGCTTTTCCACCAAAAAAGCCCTTTTCTAAAAACCTTTCTATAGATATTTTCTG